AGGCAGTTGGGCGGCACTGTTTCCACTATTCTCCTACTTCCTCTTGCTCAAGGGCGTGTGGCTATGGTGGTAGGTAGCTGACTATCAAGTAGTATAAGCAAGTGGGCAAGGTCGTCGGTCCTCTATTCTCTGATAGTTTGGTAAGAAGGTAAGGAGGTGGAACCCGCAAGGCGATCTTGATCTAAGGAGAAGAAGCCCACTGAGGGGTGCCAGGAGTGCAACCTGGCCCGAAACGTGTCGAGGACATGACGATGAAGTTTCTGTACTGAGATCAGTAGATGCGGAGAAGATGTTCTCTCTTTTCTATTTTTTGTTGCGTGTGCGAGAAGCAGTCTATGGCCACTGTTCTTTTTTTCACTTTTTTTTTTTTTTTTTTTTTTTTTTTTTTTTTTTTTTTTTTTTTTTTTTTTTTTTTTTTTTTTTTTTTTTTTTTNTTTTTTTTTTTTTTTTTTTTTTTTTTTTTTTTTTTTTTTTTTTTTTTTTTTTTTTTTTTTTTTTTTTTTTCTTCTTCTTCTTCTTCTTCTTCTTCCCTTGTGAGCTTTAATGTCCATGCAGACTGTTGAATACTCGTAAGCGTGGACGCGTGGTGATTGGCCTCGCCATTACTGATTTGTTCTTCTTCTTCTCGACTTCGCCGCCTTCTTCTTCGTTATCGTCGTCGTAATTATCCTCTTTCTGCCTCCTACTTTTTTTTCCTTCTTTTCCTTTCTAAGCGTCGGCATCTCCGCCGCCATCGCCGCCGCTACCATCGCCACTGCCATCGCCGTTCCTCGTGGTTCTAGGTTCAGGGGTTTCCTGGGATTTGCGAAGAGCAGCACCCTACGTAGAATCCCTACGGGTTTATGACAAAGTAGAAGTTAATGTACCCGTAGGTACACAAGGAGATTGTTATATGATCGTTATTGTGTCCAGTTGCTTGTTCGTTTCTAAGAGTCGGCATCTCCGCCGCCATCTCCGCCGTCATCTCTGCGACCATCGTCGCTGCCATAGCCACCGCAATCGCCGGTTATCGTCGTTGCCATAGCCACCGCCATCTCCGCGGCCATCTTCACAATCGTTGATGTCACCAGTTTTTAAACGGTTCTCGCAATCTTCAGTCTGTCCGTCGTTGTGTAAAGGGGAAAAGAAAAAAAAAGAAACTTTAAGAAAGGGAAAAAAAGAAAAAAAAACGGAAAATGAAAGGGGGAAAAAAAGGAAAAGAAAGGAAAAAGAAAGGGGAAAAAAAAAAAAAAAAAAAAAGGGGAAACAAGGGAAAAAAAAGAAAAAGAAAGGGGGAAAAGCAGGAAAAAACGGAAAAAAGGAAAAAACAAAAAAAAAAGGGAGAAAAAAAAAGTGAAGAAAAGGGGGGGGGGAAGAAGACGACGTGAAACCCTGTCGTTATGGAGTTTTGTTTCTTGCTGCTTTGGTGATGATGATGATGATCTGTTTTTGAAGAAACGAGTTGCTTTCGAGACCACCCTTCTTCACACCAGCATAAAACGTACCATCATTATGAATGTATACAAGCTACTTTTCTGGGCAGATACAGTGGCGATAAGGAGGATACGTTGTGCAGGGGGGAAGACTGGTATGTTTGCGTGTGTTCGGTCACTCACGTACTAATCTTCCGTTTTTTTTTTTGTTTTTTTTTTCCGTTTCGGTCACGTGCTGATCTCGTTATCATTGCAAAGATTCGACCTCCCAATCAGCATGCAATCACACACCCCGCACAGTAGAACATTCACGTAAGAATTCACACCGGACACCGGGACCGAGGTATGAAAATCAAGGTTGCTCACCGAAATCCACACCGAATTATTGTTTATTATACAAACAAAAAAATTGTTTCTATCCTTCAGCGGCTCCTGCCGCACACCAACTCAGTACGACGACCCAGGTATGTAACTGCTCTCCCCTGTCCCTCATGTGTGACTCTCCCTCTCTCTCTCCCTTATGTGGGACTCGCCCTCTCTCTCTCTCTCCCTGTCACGCCCATGCTCTCCCTTCTCCCCTTCTTTGTGCTCTTTGGGGCCCCCTTGCTCCATTGTTTCTTTCCTTTCGATTTCTTCTGCATGTGTAGTATGGCCTGTGACAACCAAGTACGGAACAAGGACCCAGCCGCTGACCTGGTTCAGCTGGGTCTCTCTCCCTTTCTTTGTCCTCCTTGCTCTGTTTGTGGACAGGTGCAAAAAAAAAAAGTGACTGGAAGAAGTGTCGGAATCTGGACGTGTTCCACGCAGAGATGCAGAAAAGTAGATCAATCGCATTTTCTCGCACCTGTCCACAAACACGTCCACATTCAGACACTTTTTTCAGGAGAGAGAGAGAGAGAGAGAGAGAGAGAGAGAGAGAGAGAGAGAGAGAGAGAGAGAGAGAGAGAAGGAGATCTTGAAACAGAGGAAGGAGGACAAAGAAAAAAAAAAGGAGGAGAAGGAAAAGAAACAACAGAAAAATTGTGGCAAATTTTCTAGCAGGATGATCACGTATGGACACCACATTTCAACCGTTGAAACTTTGTTTATAAATTGTT